CAGGGTGACTAGGAGCATGAAATTGTCCAGCCATGACTTCCTGTTCTACATGACTATAAATATGAGGAACACAAAAGCCAAATTCCCTTAATCATCCACCACAAGGAGTAAAACCAAAGAATATAGTTCTGATGTGCAGAACAAGAGTGTTGAGCTTCACAAAATAGAAAGTGGCTGTAAGAAAAGAGCTAAAGCATTAAAAAAATCCCCATTTCCACCATCAGGACAATAATTAAGAGGTTCAACTAAAGATGTATATAATAATAATAAATAATAAATAATATAATAAAGGCTTGTAATTAACATATTGTTCATTTTACCTCAACACTTAAGTTTATATGGATCTATTCAGTCTGGTTCGATCTAATGTTCACATATCATGATGAATTCAAATGAGTCAACAGAGTAGCAAAATTGCCAAGCAAGTTTTTCAATGCCGTGCAGGATATGGTCCAGCTGCTCATGCACTGCGGCTACTGGATGTACATGCGGTTTAATCAGGTAGCCGTTGAGTAAAATATCTCTGAAGTATATTCCCATTCATATTTAAATTTTTAGCACACCAGGGTGACTAGGAGCATGAAATTGTCCAGCCATGACTTCCTGTTCCACAGGATTATAAATTAGGAACTCAAAGGCCAAATTCCCTTAATCATCCATCACAAGGAGTAAAACCAAAGAATATAGTTCTGATGTGCAGAACAAGAGGTTTGAGCTTCACAAAATAGAAAGTGGCTGTAAGAAAAGAGCTAAAGCATTGAAAATCCCCATTTCCACCATCAGGGCAATAATTAAGAGGTTCAACTAAAGATGTTACAAATCTGCCTGGAAGAGGACGTGTGCCTATATCGTCCTAATGCACATTGAGGAGGAGAGTTTGAGTGGCCAAAGACTCTCCAAAGATCACAGATGTAGAATTGCAGAGATTAGTTGAGCCTTGGGGTCAGAAAGCCAAAAAAAATGTTTTTAAATCAAACAACCCCTATATCACCACATGTTGTTCAGGAGGGTTTCAAGAAAAATTATCTGCAAATGGCACTGGCTTCTATGGTCATCTGAAACAAAAAAAGAGCTTTTTGGCAGCAAACCCACCAGATGGGTATAGTACAAACAGGGATAAAAACTGCGTCTGACAAAGAACAACATACGCTTGTTAGCATTCAGTGGATACTCTCCAAAATGGCACTAGGGTGACACGGAGGAGACGAATTGTTGAATAAAGTCGTTTTTTTTCTTTTTCTTTTGCGCACAAAAATTATTCTCGTTGCTTCATAAAATTACGGTTGAACCCCTGATGTCACATGGATTATTTTACCGATCTCCTTGCTACGTTTCTGGACGTTGATCGTGTAAGGACCCTTGCTGTCTATGGGAGGGTCAGAGAGCTCTCAGATTCCATCAAAAATATCTTTGTGTTCCGAAGATGAACGGAGGTCTTACGGTTTTGGAACAACATGAGGGTAAGTAATTAATGACAGAATTTTCATTTTTGGGTGAACTATCCCTTTAAATAATACTTGATTATCTTATAATGTATGACTGACTGATGTTAAGAGTGTACTTTCAAATATTTAAAATATCTGACAAAAAGCCTACAACTAACCGATGTTGTCTCAGCGGAGCTCTGGCGAACGGAGGCCTCAATGAAGATAACTCTCTTTAGCTCTGTAGGCCTAACTATGCCCCACACTCAAGACATCCTGCAAGGAGGCTCACAGAGAGCCTACATCTACAGATGCTGTCTTAGAGGAGCTCTGGTGAGCGGAGGCCTCAATTAAGATAACTCTGTAGCGAGAGGAGGCCTGACGATGCTCGCAGTAAATTACAAAGCTCTAGGAGCGGAGGCCTCAGCATGACGATTCTCTAAAACGAGAGGAGGCCTAACTACACTCCACGGTCAGGACATCTTGTAAGGAGGCTCCCATAGAAGCTCCGTCTCCGGTGTAAACGAGTCCAGATCATTCACTCAAACCTAGAGGTAGGCAATATACCAATAGGCATGATAAACTGACACAGATTTTGGATTATTGTCTCTATCCTGCATACGTGACGTTGTAGTGCTGCTCCCTCACTAACATTTGCAAGTGTTTTAAGCCTTACTGGATTAAACATTTAAGCGATTTTAAACAGTTAGCCATGAAAGAGAATTCAGTTCAGTTCTCGAGCCGGTTTCACAGCTGAAGCACGAGCCCATAAAGCTGCTTGCCACTAAAACCTTGAATACTAAATTGACTTTTTGCATTTTATTGCACTTAAATGTTCAAATACATACAAAAATAACAGATTTGTTTTGTTACTGAATGGATCTAAGGTTTTAATTAGGGCTGTCACGATTTCTCGATTAAATTTGAGTAATCGATTTCCAAAAATCCTCGATTGCATTTAGTCTGTGTCGAGTAACCGGCAAAATACCGGAAGTGGCACATTCCATGGACGAGAATCCTTGAAACGCATTATTAGACCATTTTCCAAGGCTGCATGATAGATTAAACCCATTTTAAAATCATAATAAAGCATAACGCTATTGTGAATTCACAAACGCTATGATTCAATTAAATAAATATATGCGATGAAGGTTTAATATATGCGCTTTAATTATTTACATGCGTGTAGGTTACGTAGGTTACGTTACAACAATACAATACAGTGTTTATTTATATAGCACATTTAAAACAACCGAAGTCTACCAAAGTGCTGCACAGAGTATGCAAAACAGAACAAGTCAACAAGATTACAAACAATAATCAAGTCACGTTTGGTCTCGTACCGTATCGCATACCTTGTCAGTGTCGTGCGCTTGCTTAGCCCTTTGTTGTGATAAACAGTAAAGTGTGTTTAAGCGATAGCAAAACACAGTGAAAATAAATACTCTTTGAGAGAAGCAGTCAATCAGCGGAAAATAAAAGCAGATCGTAAGTGTATTTATTTCTTGTCTCATTAGTGTTTAGCGCAGTCGTCGTTGCTAGGAAACTCTTGTTTTGTTTACTGTGTTGAGACGTGCTGAAGTTGCGTTTGGTCTCATACTGTATCGCATACCTTGTCAGTGTCATGCGCTTGCTTAGCCCTTTGTTGTGATAAACAGTAAAGCATGTCCAGCTGAATTCACTTACAGTTTCGTCAGACGGGTATAAAAAAGGTTAGTACACTGCGGCAATGGTTGGCGGCAGCGCTCGTCACACACTATAGGCAGCGCAATCCTAACAACCTGTGCACTTTGTCTATGTCTGCTAATACACAACTTTCTTTTTCTATTGGTCTCTGGAATTGTCAGTCTACAGTAAACAAAGCAGATTGCATTACATCTATTACTAGTCATTCAAAACTAAACCTCATGGCTCTGACAGAGACGTGGATCAAACCAGTGCTACTCCTGCAGCACTCATCAATAATTTTTCATTTTCAACCTTTCCTGAGGATGGTACTCCCCTAGTTATGCTTGGAGACTTCAACATCCACCTAGATAAACCTGAGGCTGCAGACTTGCACACTCTGCTTGCCTCTTTAGATCTCAAGAGAGTGTTAACTACGGCTACTCACAAATCAGGCAACCAACTGGACATTATTTACACACGACACTGCTCCACTGATCATGTAATGGTTACTCCACTGCACACCTCGGATCACTTCCTCCTCACTCTTAACCTCAACATGGTTCCTGACACAACACTACCCCTCCACATGTCATCTTTCGACG